TCCTGTACGTACGCCAATGTCGCTCGAAGAAATTGAAGCGCAATTGCACAGACAGGCTGGGGTGCCCGAAAAGAGAATGCTGAGCTTGGCAGAAGTTGAAGCCGCCTTGATGAGCGTTAATGGTCGGCCACCACCACAACATTTAATGTATTCTACAAATGAAGCTACTTTTAGAGATCAAGAAAATTTGGCTTTTTTAGAACAAGAAGCAGCTTACCGAGAACAAGAGGCTCTGTTATTTCATAAGGAAAAAAAACGAAGAGATAAGCAACGAAAGTTGGTTGAAATGGTAATAGATTAATTATTTAATAATTATTATTGATTTTTAAATACATATATCTTCAATCAACGGAAAGACGTTTTTATTGCTTACAGTCTCGATATAATGGCCTAATGACACAAAGTGACAAGGATTTCATCAATCGCATTCAAATATCACAACTTGTAACGGACGATCCTTACGCAGATGATTTTTATTATCAAGTATATACTGCTATACGATCTCGCCAACCACAACCTTCAATATCCACTTTTTCACCTCAACTCGGAGGATCTGGTTTCATGGGACACGAACGAGGGCGTCATCGAAGCAGAGGATCCGAAAGTGGGCTATTGAAGATGCAACAACAAGTGTTAAGGATTGTTAATGATGCAAGAAGGAAACCAAAGCTAACACAACGTAAATAATACATTTATATATTTGTATCAAACCATTTGTATAAAGTAATATTAAAAAAATTTTTTTACGTTCATAAATAGTATCACTGGAGGGTGCTCTAGGTAAAATTGCTCTTAATTCTGTACGTAATCCTAGACAATTATTGCAAGTTTCATCAAAGAGCAATGACATTCATCACGTGGGTCCTAGCAATGGTAGTGGTAGTATTCATAGTCAGCATCAAAAAATTCCGTCAATTTCATCGCATGGTGTTATAGATCATCGAAAGATTTTAAAGTCTATCGAAAACGTATATACTGCTGTATTGACATTAGAAGAATTGAGACGAAATCAGCCACCACTGCCAAGACCATATGCTGATCACGAAAGAGTGGCCGTTGAAAGATGGTGCGTAGTTCGATTGTTGACGAGCGAAAGTTAAGTGAGACCGTTGTGATAGCAAACCTTTTCTAATAATCATTCGTTCAGGAATGAAGAGTATGTTGAACTCGCAAAGACGATGTGGGAAGAACTAAGAGTAACAGAAATGAGTGGCTGGTAATTTAGTTTACTCAGCTTTCATGCATTTATAAGTTTGATAAACAAATTTTCATTAATAATTGAACTAATCTATGTCTTTAAAATAAATGTGTTGAAAGCTATCCACATCCTTTCATTAGCATACTGTCTGTAGCAAAAGGAAAAAAAGTCATTCCACGGGTCATACGCCATTGTCTTCCCGAACAAATATTTAATTTAATCACAGTATTAGTATCCAATTTTGAAACACTAGATGTATGCAAAGGTGCAATTTGGGGACCTCAAGGAAATGTTAGTCCAGCAATGTTGGAAGAAGTTGAACTGTTTATGAACACTGTTGTTCCACCTTTGCTACAATTTGTTGCAGAATCCCCATTAAGAATTGTGATTGGACTGTTTGGATTATTTATCGAAAGGAATAATATTGTATGGGTGGCAAGAAGCAAGGTGTGATGATTTGCTAACAATTAGTAATAAATCTTTAAATTTACGTTGCGATTTACACTTTTTTATCGTAAAATTAATAACTATTTTTTTTTTATCTGATTATATAATAGGTTGGCTTAGCGTTTTTAACAATGTTTTTGAGTCGTGCTGAAATTTTAAAACAAGGAGGCGGTGCCATGCAAGGATTGCCACCACCAGAAGAACTGGAGATGATACAATGGTGGGTTAAAATTAAATGTTCATCTAAATTTTATAAAATCTATAAAATCTTAAAGGTTGATTTAAGTGATTATTATCGGTTACTTTTTTTTTTTTTTTAGGCAAGATTTATATAATCGATTATTCGGTCTCCTACAAAATCATTTCTTATCATTGTACCCACCATTCATGATTGGAATCGATGATATGTATGTGTGGCAGTTTCTCGCTGCAATGGCTGTTGGTGCATCCACGGAACAACAACACGTGCTGGTTACTGAAGTGAGGTATGTTTATTTAATACTGGATGTTTAAATATTACATTTTATTATTATTATTTTATAATATACAATTTTTTTTTTTCTGACTAAAAAGGGAAAGAGTACTTGAAACTGTGATACAAGCCTCAAGGTTATCAGCAGACAAAGCATCTCATAAAATTGCCAATGTAAACTTATTCTTGAATGCATTGGGACTTGATGCATCACAGCTTAAAGTTTAAATTACACTTGTCAAAGATTAATAAGATTAATAGTCACAAGCAAAGAAAAAAAAAAATCATATTGTT